AATGTTGGGGGGGGGGGGGTCACCCACTTTTTTTTATTTGATAGGGGGTGGGTCAACTGAGATTTACAGCTGGCAAAATGGAATTTGCCGACCCCCCTAGGCCGAAGTAACTGACCAATCCCTTAGCTTGAACAGTTCAAATCAGACTAGTACAAAAAGTCCTGACTTAACTTGTCTAATTCATATTCTATGACAGGAACAGCAGTACATGTATTATATATATTTTCAGATTAACTTCCTAGAAACTTGTCTTGAATATTTTAATTAACTTTTTGACACATTTATTTGTGACCCATGCACTTGTATTTATATGGAGATTGTAAACCACACACTTTTAATGACGTGGTGATTGTAAACCACATACTTTTATTCATGTGGAGAATGTAAACCACACACTTTTATTTATATGGAGATTGTAAACCACACACTTTTATTCATGTGGAGATTGTAAACCACACACATTTATTCATGTGTAGATTGTAAACCACACACATTTATTCATGTGGAGATTGTGTAAACCACACACTTTTATTCATGTGGAGATGGTAAACCACACATATTTATTCACGTGGAGATTGTAAACCACACACTTTTATTCGTGTGGAGATTGTAAACCACACACTTTTATTCATATGGAGATTGTAAACCACACACTTTTATTCATGTGGAGATTGTAAACCACACACATTTATTCACGTGGAGATTGTAAACCACACACTTTTATTCGTGTGGAGATTGTAAACCACACACTTTTATTCATGTGGAGATTGTGTAAACCACACACTTTTATTTATGTGGAGATGTAAACCACATACTTGTATTCGTGTGCAGATTGTAAACCACACACATTTATTCATGTGGAGATTGTGTAAACCACACACTTTTATTCATGTGGAGATTGTGTAAACCACACACTTTTATTCATGTGGAGATTGTGTAAACCACACACTTTTATTTGTGTGCAGATTGTAAACAAACTACAATCTTGTCTTCATATGGAGATTGTAAACAACACACTTGTATTCATATCGTGTATTCGTGTGTAGATTGTAAACCACACACATTTATTCATGTGGAGATTGTGTAAACCACTCACTTTTATTCATGTGAAGATTGTAAACCACACACTTTTATTCATGTGGAGATTGTGTAAACCACACACTTGTATTCATATGGAGATTGTAATCCACACACTTGTATTTATGTGGAGATTTGTAAACCACACACTTGTATTCATGTGGAGATTTGTAAACCACACACTTGTATTCATGTGCAGATTATTAACCACATACTTGTATTCATATTTCTGTTGTAAATTTCAGTTCATGTAAAGAAGCCTTATTATAAATGTACATCTTTTTAGTAGATTGTAAATTGAATATACTAAGATATTTAGTCAATGTGCGTGTATTGGTGTACTATTGAGAGTGACCAAGAGCTGGGTTTAGTACCACACCCCAAACAGTGAAGTTACTGCCTTTTGCCATTACTCTGTTGTGGACTCATTTTAAATAATCTAATGAGAAAAGTATTCGTTAGTATTCCTGTAAAATAATTTCAGTTTCATGACTAGAATGAGTTAATCTCGAATTTTATTATACCCAGTTAATTCCTTTGAAAAAAGCAATTGGCGTCACACATTTGATGATTTCTGTTTATTTCATTGCCTC